GCGGCATTATTAAAATGGAAAGAAGTTATTTGCTGAAGTATTTTTTGGTAGGGTTAATACAATTCAGGTTTCCTAACTGCAACTGGCTTCCCCTCTGCTGCACTCTAGGGAAATCTGGGTAAACTGCTGAACAGTTTTGATCTGAGCAATGTTGTATCCAGTAGTTAAGCAGCCAGCTCCCTAAAACAAGTACCAGCGTTTTGTAGAAACCTGTAGGCATGGCGCTCGAGTCAGTAAAAGCTGCCTTGTTCTAGAGGAACAAGGAAAGTGGTCTGATGTAAACGTTACTTAATCCAGGGTAGGAAAGCTTTCAGATTTTCTCATTAGCAGATAATAGCATGGGGAAATGGAAGTAATATTGGAAAACACACATTAGACATATCCTAAAGCACATACTGAAAACTGAGCTGCCATCAAAACTGAGTAATATATTAGGTTAGAATCCACTCAGATAAAAATGGAGCACCATGAAAAGCAGTTTTGAAAACTAACTTTAAGAAGCTGTTGTGGTAACATCATCTTAGTTCTAAAATTAATACATAGACAATGAAATTACTCCAGCAGATATAATGGCTTCTAGGCTAATCAGCAAAATAATTTGCAGGAACCCAATGTAGATGCCTTACAATTACCACATAAACTCAGTTTCCAGACTGGCTGTGTATTACATATTATTTTCTCCTAGAATGTCCACAAAACTACAATTATCTTTTTACTTATATAACTAGGATTTTAGAGAACTGCTTGATAGCAAGAGGAAATGACATAGTACTGAACAAGTAATTAACACAGGAAGGGTACAGTAGAAGAATCTGAATTGACTGTATCTCCCACTCCTTTCAAATTTGTTTCCTGGAGCACATGTCTGTCTGAACAGTACTCCAAGCTTCCACACCTCAGGTGATGAGATGCGGTAGGAGCTCCTGCAGGTGAGAACTCTGTAGGACCATGAATATTGGCAGGACAGAAGTATGCAAGTTCAAGGACAAGAGGTTTCAAGGTGGGGGGGGGGGGGGAATCTCCAGCTGTGTAACACAATGCATTTACCAGAATTTGAAAAGACAATTATTTGAGGAAGAGGGTAAAGACTGTAAACTGTAGCTCAGGATGGATCCCATACACAGAGACACATCTGTGTCAAATCAGATGCAATGTGTTTCTGAACTGTGATGTTGCTGACCCCACTCAGGATGGATCTCCCTTGCTCTTACCTATAAAGCTAGAAGGCAGGCTCTTAGTTTTTAATTTTTCAACTTTAGCTTTTTTATTTTGTTGGTTGAGTTTCTTTTGTGGAGGGACTTTTGTTGATTTTTGGAGGGAGAGGTGTTAAGGGTTTTTTTAGCTTGAAATCTGCATCAGTCTTCTGAATCCTTTTGTTTACCTTATTATTAGCTATTATTTTCTAATTAGTTCATGTTCACTTTGTACTTGGTATGAAACAAACAACCTAGGACAGATACACAGCCTGTTTCCAAGACTCCTACTTCACTGTATGCTCTGTTTCCTTAGACCTCTAATACCCAAATCATGTCTGGAGATGAATCAAAGATTCTTAAGATTTTGTCCTTACTGGCCAAGAATAACAGTTCGGCTCTTCCTTCCTCTCATTGTCCATTCCATACCCTGTTAAACTCACAAAGAAAGGAGTAGTTTAGCACCTTCTTATTCCATAGTCACAGGAACAGGGATTTAAACCTCACACTTAGATGCAGCATATGGTCTCACCATGTAGGTGAGAAGTTATTACACTAACTTGCAAGACATAATTATCACCAAAGCTACTGCCTTCTTCTGTCTTTGTTTTCAAAGACAAGAACAAATCAAATCAGGCTACACAGACAGTCTGACTTCAAGCAGCAGGATAAAGGGTTAAAGCAACAGCTATTTATGTCGAGTCTTGCAGACATGCTTTTACTACAGCAGTAACTGGTGTCCAATTTCCAGATGAGTTTGAGAGATCCTTCCCATATTCATGTTCCCTGGTAGCTGTTTTTGGCATCTCCTCTCTTCCAAGAGACACACTAGAGCTAATATCCAACTTTAGTCACTAAACATAGTGGGGAGGTTCCCACTCTCTCAACCCTGATGCACCCAAGTATGTTTGAGAATCCAAACATCCCAGGTGCGCTTCATGCAGACCAAGACCACCTTCACACGGTCCTGCAGGGAAACTTTTAGCGTGTATAGTCCTAGGCTGTATAGTCTGCATCCCTCTCTGCTTCCCTCTCCCACTTCAAAATCCTCTCAAGGCACTTACTCTTGCAGGTGGTAGAAAAACTTCCTTTGGACCACAGCTGCATTTCAGAGTGGACACAAAACTAGAGGGACTCTTGTTTTCCTCACAAATACACCTTGCAATGCTTGTCCCTATTTGTACATTACCTCATAAAGAAAACACAAGTCTTAAATTTCATAACAGAAAACATTCCACGTTATTCCTGAACTGAGGATGCTCAGTTCTAGAACTATGTTTTCAGACATTCCACAATTAATGCACATAGCAATAGGCAGCAGAAAGTCCTGAAGGACAGGAATGACATGACTGAGAGCTGATTTTCCAACTTATCTGTAAAATTACTCATATTAGGTTGTAACAGGACCCAGATTACAGCTGACAGGGGCATAAGCACCATCCAAAGGCAAGGCAAAATGAGGGCTTCTGTCTCAAAGAGTAAATTCAGAATTTCAAGGAACACTCGGGAAGTGAGGCAGTCATGTAGTACTTTTACAGTAACTTAACATTTGTTTTTCCAAATGTTATTTCAATGCTGAGAGAAAAGCTGAGCTTTCACCCTTTACAAGAAGCTAGGAAAGCACAGTGTCTTTTCAAAGAGGCTACGTAGCCAGGGACTACTGTGGCAGCAAACACACAGGGAGTCTTAATGCAAGGGTACATTTTCAGAAAAGACTGTGCACAATTTATATTATTAAGGAAGATGTATTGTTGCATGTTTGTTGTAAAAATAAAAACAGAGAAAAAACATCCTGCCTAGCTACAGGTGCTTTCATTTAAGGTAGCACCAAAGCATGCAGCCAGGTCTATTAATATTCAAGTCAGCTCTCATGCACCCACCATGACCTCACTGCTTTCTTGACTCAGCAGAAAAGAGGGTTTATGAAAAAAATATGGAAATACTCCTCAAATCTTTTTTTGAAAGCTACTGTCAACTAAACCTGTGTAAATATTTTTAGAAAAATCTCTCCCATGCTTCCCCACTGAAATATGGAAAATGCACATTTCTACATTTGTAAAGAGGGAAAAAAGGCTCTGAAATACCAGGCAATTACTTTGACATTATTTAGAGTATAAAGGGCTCCAAATTCTTACTTCTGGAGACATACTCAGAATAAATTAACTGTCCAACCAGAGTACAAAAGTTATTTTGATTCCACCAGTATTAGTGGAGATTTAACTTTTTTCAACCTCTTTCCCACAACACAGGCACATGTGACCAAAATGTGACCCAACAGCCTGAAAGATCAGGAGATAAAAGCATGAAATTTTGATCCATTCTCTCCCTGTATATCAACCATAACTTAAAACATTACCAATGAGAGAACTGTAGTTAAAGTTGATTAACCCAGGCTCCCACAAGCCCTGAAAGCATATAATGTACAATAACACAAATGTAAAGAATTCACAAGGATCTGTCATCTACTAGAATTTCAGATACACTATTTAGACTTGTAATTTTACATAACCTGTGTTCTTTCCAAGAATAGAGTTCTACATAGCAGAATCTACAAAATAATTTTAATCTGAATAACAGGCTATTTTTCTGTGAACAAGTCCAGGACTCCAAAGAGCTGGCAGTGTGATAATGCAACTAAGTCAAATGGGCGTGACCATCCACAATAGACAAGTACAAAAATGATGATCATCATACTCTGTGACAGGGAAGCCTGACACAGGATACTAGTAACAGACGTGACAGAAGAAGTGAATGGAGGCAAAATACAAAGTCTGTGTGTTTAAGGAATCTCCAGTGCAGGGAACATTTCCCTGTGGCCCAACATCAAGATTTTCTATGTAATGTATTACAGCATGAATCTATCACGTGTTGCATGCATGTTGCATGTCTGAAAATACCCAGCCTCATTCCAGGTCCAAGGAAACAGTGCATACCACCCTGCACTTCACACTTCAGTCATGCTCTACAGCAAAAAACTGTGTAAAGCATTCAGAGTTCCTTCTCAAGGAGAAATATCAGTACTATCACTGCATTCACAGCCATCCATTTTTTATTCCACACTATTTTTTAAGATAAATTTGTAAGGATGAAAAGTGCACAACATCATCATGCATTATAAGCTTCTAATTTTCTACTCCATTATCTACTTATACTGCAGAAGTGTTTGAAATATGAGTAGACAACAATTTAAAAAGTAAATAATAAGCAAGAGTTATTTGCTTTTGTTTGGCGTCTTGAAGTAAGAAATATGAGGTTTTTTGCTCTGTTATTAAAACCAGCACTTGTTACACCTCCAAGGCTTACAACCATAGCTTTTGGATCTGACTGGAGATAACATTCCACAACAATTTAGAATATTTCAGACAGGGCTGGAAGGAAAAAAAACAACAAAAAAGATGCATTCAACTACATCTTCAAAACATGTGTATGCAGGAATGAAAAATCTGTAACTTTTCCTGGAAGTTTTTATAGGAATTAAAGAAAAAAAAAATAAAATCTTGAGCGTCACAGAATCTCTGAAAACACATTCTGTACTACTTCAGCAAGGATAAAGTATTTTTTAAAAACACATGCCTTCTTATTTAATATGGTATGTTATTTTGTCTTATACTATTTGATAAGCTGTGTTTAAATTCTAAAGTAAAGAAATCCTATTTCTAGAGCAAGCAAAACTACCATATGAAGACTGGATCTTCAAGAAGAGTTAAACATCACTAAGTTAGAAGTATATTTTGTTCCTAGTGCATATAATTATTAACTATGATGAGACAGTATACTGGGAGAGTTTTATAAGAATAAATCCAGAAACCATGAACTTAAACAATCCCTTTAATATAACAAACATATCAAACTTTCAAATATAAACTGGAACCAACTAACAAATTAACTCAAAACAACTTTCTGAATACCAAAAAGGTCTTATGCAAAACAGTGCACATTTATTTGAGGTATTGTATCCATGAAAACAAAACAAAACAAACCAAACTATCTAAATTTAAAAAGACTTTTTACTTAGCGAGGCAAAAGAAGTTAAGTAGTACATAAGGAGTAAACCAATGTAAACAGTGTAAAAATAAAGACTGCTAATACCAGCCAACCCAAAACTGAAATATCCCAATATATTAAAGAAAAATAAATCAGAGGCATGCAAAATATTGTTTGTTAAAATACACTCAAATCCACGTGGCTAAAGTGAGCATCACAAGCTAGTGAGGTGGATTGCATTTAGAATTGCACTGCATTTAGAAATGCAACATTTATTTTCCTTAGACTGATTGTCATTCAGTTTTCCACTGATAAAAAGCTTTCAGCCTTCTTCAACCCACTGGGAACTGAGCTTTTAACACTCCAAACATGTGCTGCAAATGAGGTTTAAGTAATTGTTTTTATGATCTAGTGTGATATAGAACCTCATTCAAATGCAACAAGCAATGGTGATCTGCTACCATCATGGGAAGAAAAAACTTGGAAAACAGGTTGCTCCAGGTGGAGTTCAAAGATTTTTGAGTTTCTCCTCACAAGAGCAGTGACAAACTCCATGGTAAATCCGGTAAGCCACTTAGCATTTTATTTGCAAAGCAGAACATTTTGGCAACTGATTTATTAAAGGAATCTGAATAGTGACCTGCAATGCATGTGCTTTTCAGAAAAATCAAGTTTTGTTTCAGGTATGGATCAGGAACATCAACAGCACAAGACTTTTCTCATTCAAGCAACTGTAGTGATGCCATCCATCTTAGATGCACTTACAGATCTTTCTTATCTTCTGCTTTATTTAAACTTTGCTGAAAAGAGACAGATTAAAAATAATTTAAGTTTGGCAAGATCAGAAACCACTGACTCCAGACACCATATTTTGCCCTTTTGCAGTCACACCTGATTTGTTCACCATCCACCTTTCTAAGCTGTAGTCCCATCAACACTGCTCCACAAAACACCTGAGCTGCTGCTGCCAGCAGTCAAGGCTGTGCAGCGTAATTCTGCTCCCTTTGGTGTTACAGCTGAGTTGTACATGAAAGTCAGCAGAAAACACTTTCTGCTATCAACTCATTTATCCTTGGGAGCTGCATCTACTGTGTGCTCAGTACCTTCTGTTCTTTCCACTCAGGGGTAAACAGAAGATGGTAAGGATGTGTGTTTTAGACCACAAGTCTGTTAGAAATGCAGCAGGACTACTATGGCTCATTACACAGGGAAGCACAAGGACAGGCCATGCATGGTGGTCTTGAATTGAACACAGAGATCAGTTGAGCAATCTTTGTAGAAGTACAGGGTGAGGCTGGGAATAAGTAAGTGGTTTCACAGAGTACAGGAAAAAAACATTATAACCAGATCAAAACTGCCTTTTCTTTATTAATACAGGACTGAACAACTCTTCATGAAAAGCAGGTCACTGTAATTTTAATGATCATTTATTTTCTCCCAAGATCACTACTTGTAAATAGGCTAATTTTAATTTTTACTGCATTTTGCTCAAGACAGATGTTGGGTATGGAGCATATGAACACCTGTCAGACAACTTAAAATACAGACTCCCAGTTCTACCAGAAATACTTACTGTGTATCTAAAAGGTATTATAGCCACACACATAAGAAACTCAATCTAACAGCTAAATGAACTTTTGCTTAATATGGTTTTGGTTTTTTTAAATTATTTTGTACTTCAGTTTGAGTTTTATAGTAGCCTGTTTTTAGCCTAGGCTGTTTGTTGGGTTTTTATCCTTGTATATCAACAGTATTGCAACATTTATAATCCAGGATTGAAAAAGCATGTTTTAAAAGTAAATAAAATAAAATAACTTTTACAAAGTAGTGTATTATATACTACCCTTGTCACACACACACCCCTCCTATAATTTTCTTACAGAATTTCAGTTTGATCATCACATGCAAAACCATCTGAATCTTACTTTCCAAGTAACAGTAAAATTGAAGCAAATGATAACCTGAGTTTTGCCAACCAAAGTTCAAAAAAGAAAATGCTCATCACTTTGCAAAACAAAATTCTATTTTGAAGAAGTTTAAGGAATGCTGGTAATTGTAATTTTATGCTACCCTAAGAGTTTCTGGTAAATTCCCTTGCACAATAGATACCAACAAATAGAATTTTACTGGTACAATTTCAAAACACAGTGCTTGTATGGTCATCCAGAGCCACCTACCTGAAGCTGTTCAAATTCTTTCATCAGATGATTGTATTCTCTTCTAAGGCCCTCAGACTGCTTTTTAACTGTAGCCACTTCAGTTTTTGCCTTATGGAAAGCTGTAAAATACCAGAATTGGTGTTTTAATTATTACATGTATTCCTGCAGTTTCTCAGAACCCTAGATGTGCACTAGAGCTACACTGCAGTAGACAGTCCTTCCTCTAAAAAAGCTTAGAATTCAAAGCACAGCATCACAGATGGACACAGGAAGAGAAGTTGAGGACAGAGAGCAGAAAGAGAATGGCCAATGGTCAGAAAGACCAGCACAACGAACAGGATGGTAAGGGGTGAGACCAATAAACTCCTGAAAGAGTTAGACTAGTATGTGATGACTACAGTGTTCTGTCACATTGCAGGAGACAGTTCTAGAAAAACAAAACTCTGCAACTCCAAAATCAAAACTGTCAGACATCTTAAGAAGAGGAGGGAACTCAAACACTGGGCAAGATTTTCACACAGCAACTGAGACCATGTACAAAACATGGTAAGGAGGAAGATGATATATAATTATAGGAGCACAGACCTCACCTCTTCACCCTGCTCTGAATTTTACCATGCATGAGTTAAATGATTAGCAGCATCAGTTTATGGATGAAAAGGCAGAAATGGTGGTGGCTGGATAAACAATTCTGAACAGATTTTTTACATGAGAAAAATCAATTATTACTCTATTCCATCTCAAATAAACTGAGAGCACATCTACACTGCAGTACCAGACAGCCTAGGACTCCACAGGGGCTATTTTACAATGCAAGATAAAACATCACAAAGTGCCATAAAGCCATTAGTCCTAAGCTGTTACATAAGGTCATTTAGACATTTTCATGTTCCTCTGCTATAGGTATCTCAGGGATTGTTATATTTCTCTGATGCAGCACCACAGGCATAGTCTAAATCTTTATCTATTCATGTGAAAACAAAAGAAATGTTGTTAATGATCTAGTAGAGGCTGCCTCACATGGCCACTTAAACTCAAACAACCAAATCTGATGGTACAAATAAAAAAAAGAACATTTGCAAATTTCCTTGTTCCATAAGTGTGAATCTATCCTTTGACTGTGAACTCCCTGAGACTCTTCTTTCCCAGAGACCTCCATTGGACTCAAGAATTGCAGCGCTTCTAAAAACTTCTAAAAGCCTATGCTGAAAAGATGGGGAGCTAGATGTGGTTTTTGTTAAGCACTGAGTTACAAACAGTCTGGTATGAACCAGATTTCTGTTTGGATGCTAGTTCCTGAAACATCAGGAAATGAGATTTGACCACTCTCTTACATGCAAGAAGGAGAACTCCCTCACCCAGAATTTCTGCTATTTTTAAATAATTAATTTGAATGTATACATGAAAAATAATTCTCATTTCAGAACTCTGCAAGTGGTTTTCCTGTAACAGGACTTTTACCTATCCTGAAATTCTGACTCATAGGAGTCAATAACACTTCTGTCTATTGATTCCAACATGATTAAAAAGCCATTGTTTCTCTTTAAATCCTTTCTTTAATTTCCATATTCTTACACAGTTTTCCTTCATCCTTTAAGTCATTCTTGACAGTATTAATACAGATTTTCTGAAGGTTTTGGTATTTGGAATAACTTTGATTTTCACACATGTGACAAGTCAAACCCCACTGCATTTTGTCTTTCTCTAATCTCGGTACTGTTTAAAATATTCAACAGTAAAATCTGGATATCAATAAAATAAACTTGTGACAATTTGATAAGCTTCTGAATTTTAAGTTGTAGACAAAAAAACCCCAACATGTGCTACTTCACTTCACTTCTCCAAGAATCTTCTAATTAGAAAGATAAATCTTGCTTTTGTTTGAACATTTCTGTACATAGTAAAAATTAATATCTCACTTCTGACAAAGTTGTAACTCCATGTAATTGATCTAATACTATTTAGTTATTTTTAAGTAGCATCACAGTATTTTAGTTGCAACTAAAAACTACTTTATCTTTAAAACATGAACAAGATATCTAAAAGTATCTACAAATCAAGCAAGCAAACAAGCTACTGCATTGTTTTAATGTTTTGACCAAAACAGATGTATGACACAAATACCTCACCTAACCCTAGAAGAAGAAAAAGCAAAGAACAGATTGTCCTTTCCACCTGTGTTGGCTATGGACAAAAACCCCAAAACATCAACAAACCACCAAATCCAGACTCATTCCTGTTGGGGCCACAAAATTAAAGGAGCATCACATCTTTGACAACATGAATTCCTCAGTGCATCAATTTTCCTGGATGCCTTGTGAAGCACCAGAGTGTCCACACATCACTGCCCAGCCCCTCTGCAGCCGCACGAGCACCGCAGTGCAGCCGCGTTCATCAGGTACACTGTTGGTCATATGGATCCCATCATATGAACATGGATCCAGCAGGAAACAGGAGATCCTTTGTGTGTACAGTACACTCAGTTATTATTTCTGGTTTCCATCTGGCCTGTTACTTTGCCTCACAGAAGCACAACAGCTGGACTGGCAGCAAGCAAGTCCCCAGAGCTGACACCTCCCACCAAGTCAATGCATGAGCAGGCAGGAGGTGAAGATGCTGCTTCTACATGAATGCACCCATTGAGGGGAATAATCAGTAAATTCCAAACAGGGAATCCAGCCTCTCCAATACTATGAGAGGTAGGCTATCCTTTTCCATTCTTCTCCTTACGGAACAATCAACAAACTATTCCTAGGCCATTGTTTCAATGGAAGACATTTGTGGAAAACTACATCCCTTTACACTCATGTGTGACTGAAAGTCCATAAACTAATGTAACATGTATGGTCTGGGAAAAGTAGAGGAGTGTCTTTTCACCACATTCTCTGAATCCTATTCCAGGAGAGAGTTTACTTCAGATTGCTCTGAATTCTAAGGATGAGGAATAAACTGCTCTGAGGAGCTACATTACCACAGCAGTTGTAGCATTTCTATGATCTTCTCATTTCAACAATGATGGAGAACCCACTAAAACGAAAACCAAACAGCAACAAAAACAACTAATAATTCTTTGGGCATTTCCTTGCACAACTACTAGTCCTGGTCTGACTAAATCACTTGACTTACAGCGCTTGCTACTAAGGAAACGATCTGGAACTTACATTAGCATTGCGCACAATACAAGCCTACAACCCAAATGATTTGGACTAGTTGACAAGTAAAAAAGAGCCCTCTCTTAAAAGAGTTTTCAAGTTAAAAAAGAGCTATTCACATTTAAGAATTTAGGCACTGACGGCACAAGAGATTTGCCAACAAATACACTGTAAGGCTGGGAACACAACTCCAGTCAAGTAACTCCATACTAATCCTGAATTCTCAAGATATAATGGTCAGAATTTAAAATGAGAAGGCAGGGCAAAAAAATTTACAGATTTGCTTCAAGTACCTTTAGCAACCTCAAATGAAATTTTGTTACAAAAGGGATGTTACAGCATCATGGGATGGCATACACAACCTTGTGTAATAAACCCATGCTCGCTGTATGCAGCCATCTCTTCCAATCAACAAATGTAAGTATCAACTCTTGCTGCACGTGACACTGCAATGGCTCCCACCCTTGGTTATCATCTCACAGTTTTGTACAAAGTACAGTTAAGTAAGACAGACCTTGTTTCTCAACTTCCCTCTGCCTTTGTCTAAGTAACTAAGGACTGTGGCCAGTTCTTTAAACTTGTTTGTTTTTAAAAACTGGAGTGCATCACTTAAGCTCAGTGTAGTTTTTTTATCGGGCACTAGCCTACCCAGCAGCATCAAGGCCAAACTGAACTTCCCCTTGCAAGTTTTATGAAATGCATCCCCAGTGTCTGTATTTTTTAGCACATTTCAAACATGCAGTAATCTTCACAATTAAGTGAGAGCTGTACAGCTGTACATGCATACCTCCTACAATAGCCAACAGTTAAAAAGTTATTTCAAAACCAGCCCTCCACATGAATTGCTGCTCTCTTCCTGTCTCCTACAACACTATGCAACCATGAAACAAAGAACACTTGCACAAAACAAACCTCTTTAAAGGATGCATGGATGTTCCATTAGAATTTCCTACTGCCCTACCATATGCCTATGACAACAATATATTGGCAAGGTATTTTCAGAAAAAGTTGAACTGAAGTTCATGAGCACCTAAATGACTTTGATGAGCCAGTACATATTTCATGAAGCTCTGTTCCCACCCCAGCACAAGGACCACTGTAAGGATAAGGACAAAAGGCTTTATGAAACCTCTCTCAGGTCTAACCTCATGCCCAGTTGCATTTGTTTTGCTGTGGTTTTTTGAATAGTTTTCCAAGCCATCAAAATGAAACAGTATCATGGCATGTCTTCTTTCCCCAGAAAATTCATATTGGTCCTAGGCCAGTAGCCATATTGAGAACCTTTAATTATCTGAATCAATACTTTGTTAGAAGTATGTCTAATATGTAGCAGGAGAAACATTCTCACATCTGTACTGGGTACTGCTACAAGTATGTACATTTATTTCTAGATATCAAGGAGACATTTTCATAATATAGAAGTTTATCAATAAAATACCATCTCAGAAGGTTTCTAACCAGTCATGTTATTACATGTCTGAGTATGCTAAAAATGGATTTAGGCTCTCAAAGTGTTTGCCCCACTGCTGGGTGCCTATAAAGCCCTGACAACAATATGTGGGCCTGCAATAAAGTAGTGAGGAACTAGCCTTCTTTGCTTAATTTCCAAAATAAATCAAGTTTATTAGAAAGTGTAGTAGAAAAGTGAAGCCTGAAAAGAAAGCAAATTTGTTCAAAAACCTTAAATTTTATTTTCAACCGTTCCTCAGATTTTACTAATTTCACTACTCTGTCTTGTATTTTCATTCTTCCTCCTCACCTGTTCAAAGCATGGGAAAAAGTCTTCTTAACTTAGGATTTCACTGTTAAGTGAGAAAAAGGAAAAAGTAGTGTATGTTTTCTGTAAAAAATAGATGAGTCTCCTGATAGTGTGCAATAATCTGTCTACACTATAATTTTAGTCAGAATTTCAGAAAGAGAAGACATACAGTATTTCCTCTGCCAGTTGTAAATATTGATTCAAAACTTTACAGGAAATTTGTATGGCCTTTGAAGTTACAGCACTAATCTGATACTGAACTATTTTCTTAAATGTGATGCAGGTGTACACTTAGGACTCCTCCTGCCTGTCACTATACTGACTTAACCCACCTTTCAACTCATGGCCTAATCTAAAATAATATATTACCATGCATCCGCAGCTTAATAAGTGCCCCAGACCAAAGCAATGGATACTTGAAACTGCTTTTGAAAACAAAAAAAAAGTTTCCTTTCAAGCAGCAAAACCCCACCTAAACACAAACCCCCAACCAACCAAGAACAAAATCCAAATTTATTGTTCTTACTAATACTATAGCTGAAAAACAAACAATAAGAAAACTTCAAAAATCAAATCCAGTAAAGTTTTTATTTTTATACTAGTTTTGTATTGTTTCATTAGGTGACACTCTTCATCTCTCCCCCTGCAATTTCATGGACTGGACTTTAAGGGCACAAAGAAAAAAATACTTTAGTCATGTGAGCTCAGTAGCAAAACAAACTTTCCAATCTCAGCTTTCATTTTGTGTAATGCATTGCTCACACTTAGTGAACGTGACAGTCACCATTCACCTACCCAGCTTGCAGGAATTTCAAAATAAAACAAATTTCATTCATGTTCTCTAACACTCTATAGAAAGCTGGGTCTACAGATGTGGTTGTTCTTATCAAGTACTTAAAAGCTTTCTGGCTATCAATTTGCTCAAAATAACATATAAGAAAACTTACAAAAAGGTAAGACAGACATATCTCAACACCACCTAGCTGCCCATGGTAATTCCAATACCACCCATGGGGTTTTTGGCAATGAGGGGGGTGGCATCAGGAGAAGGGCTGTAAATATTTTCCAATTCACTCCTTAGAAAGACCCTCTCTCCCACTTTTGCCCTAACAAAAGATTCAAGCATGCCTTAATTTATACATCTCTTGGATGGACAACATCCCATAGGGAGAATGAAGCTGAAGCAGCATGAGGTAAATGTATTTATTCCTTAGCTTTCTCTAGCATTCCTGGCTGAAAAGCTTACATTATATTAGTGTTACATACCACCAGTTAGTTTAAATAAAACATAAGCATTTAAATTTTTCATTGATCCTGTCACTTCAAAGGCACTTTTCCCCCATTTCTTCAAGAAAACAGCAGGAGAGGGAAAACCCATCATCAAACATGCCTGAGAATGTGAACTAACAAGACTCTCTACTTAAAGACTCTTGTTGCTTCAAGCCCAGCTGAAAACAGCTGGTTTAACATTTTTTATTTGAATTGCCAGTGGACAGTGAAAAGGATTCGTGAAATATTTCTGAAAAAAATATTCTTACAGCATTGTAGCAATGCTGGGCAGTATGTAAGTAAGGCTATGTTTTGATGATAACATTAGCATGTTATCGTATCTCGTACTAAGAAAATTTGTATTTTTGTTAAAGTCTGAACATCTGATTAATGTTTACAAAATCACAGGCAGTGTTATCTTGAAAACACTGATTTCAGATGAGCAGGTATTCACAGGCATCACACACCTTGAGATCCCAGTGAGACAGAACCAAACAGGTAAAATCTGCTTCTATCTCAATTTGGGCTGCCTGTAAAGCAGTTTTGACAACCTAAACCTTAAACACGGAAGCTGATAACAAATGTATTATGTTACAAATTGCAAGGTATGTTTCCTTGTAAACAAAAAAAAAAAATTAAAAAAGCTAACATCTTAACACCTTAGCTGCAGAACATATATAAATTCAGAACACTAATCAAGGACTTTTCTGCTGTCTGACAGAAACCCTATGGTAGTAAAAAACCTCAACCACAATATTTCCCCATTTTATACAGGGAGAGTGGCTGTTATGTATGACATGGAAGATCAAACTGATGCCTTGAAGCAACCTGCAAATGATCCTGGTCATGTCATTGATGAAGACAAGTCAACACCACTTAAATATATCAGTCCAACTTGTTGAACTAAGGTGCTCCAATTACACCTTATATATTTTCATAATGAACATATTTACTAAAATATTGGGATGGCAATGGCATGTTTTGTCAGTTCCTAGTCAAAGATAAAGAAAACCCATGCCGAGTGCTCTGGAAACAGATGAAGTTAGTTCATGCTATACCTAGAATATTTCTTTGACATTCAGAGTTGAAATAATCTTTTTCTTATTGCAAAGAAGTCCTAATACTCACCATTTGATGTCTTCTGTAGCTCTGCTTTCAAATGTTCAACTTCCTCCTTCAACTTTTCCTCAGTTGCATCTGTTGACTCTTTCTTTTTACCATCTCCTTTTCCACTCAACGCCTATTAAAAACCACAGTTGCTACAATTAATTTTATTTTCATTAGTCTAATATTAATGCAAAATTTTCAGGGAATGTCAGCCCTGATCTTGCAAAGCATTAGGTTTTCCCAAATGGCAGATAGTCATTGTAGAAAAAAAACCCCCCAAATTAAAAAAAAAAGGAAATAAACAAGCCCAGTGTTTTAGGTAATGGCATATTTGTAATAGAATGATGTTGTCTCCTGTGTAAGAGTACTTTGTATGTGTCTATCAAGTGTACAACTTTCATTTAGGTTTTTAAATGGATTTTTCAGAAGATACACACTGGGATTGTCAGTGACAGAACACTGCCATGTTTACATGCAACTGGTTCTAATTCTTTTCTTGTAGGTTTGCAGCTACTTCAGAATACTGCAGCTACTTCAATCTTCAGAATAGTTCCAATATCCAGAATCAATTTCCAGTGAAATTCAAGACAAAAACTAGGAAAGGATCCAGAAAGGGCTGTGTAAACACTTGACACAAGAGCAATACATTCCCTGTACTCCAAAAATGTTGGCACTACTATTCTTAAGCACCCTTTTAAGGTGCAATATTAGATCCCGTAACAAGATCCTTTTCTCATAAAGCTTCTATTATGTAACCACACATCATCTCTGTAATAGCAAAAAAGTGGTAAATGCTTAACAGGAAAAAGAAAAGTAAAACAAGTGAGACAAACAGCTGTTATGTGAACTAGCAGTATCACAGTTTACCAGGAACAAGTAGGAGCAAAGGGGAAAGATTTTTTTAGGAAGAAGAAAAATAACTGTTAATAAAGACTGGTAAACAATCCAAGAAAAAGAGCTGAAAAAAGATTTCCAGAAGCTATTTAACCAAAGAGCTGAAATGACATTTAACTAGCGGTAACAAAACCATAGCCAATTCTCCTCTCTGCTTTGTGCTCACCTCTTTCTATTAGTATGCAAACAGCTATTTCTCTACACTTTCGTCTTAAGTCCTGTGCTCCACAGAACCTCTGAACAGGTGACAGTGCAGACCCTGCACACCAGAGTAAACTCACAGTATTTAAACTTGCAGCCAATGCCTTATGTACAATTGCTCTCACTTCTCTCCAACAGTGGAATGAAGCACACTTGTAAATAAACACAACTGCAGGGGCCAAGCCAGAGAAGCCTAAACCATAGGATGTCTATAAAGTATTCCAACCCTGAACACTGCCCATGTCTATCACAATGGAGATCCAGCCACAGCATGCTGTTTGTACCTGTAGCTACCTGTGTTTTTGCAAACCATGCAATCAAACGCACAAATAGAACCAGACAGGACTACAGTTTCCAATTTCTGGCTATCATTTACAAGCGGCTAAGAGAATGTGTTGCTAAGAGAATGTGAAAGCAGAACAAAAAAGAGGACTTTTGGCAAAATCCCAACAGGACAGAGAAGAAAAAAAACCATATCCCTAGGCAGTAAAGAGGCAAATTCCATGGCTGAGGGAATAGTTTGTATCATTTTGACAAAATATCAAATCCCAAAATTTTGGAATCATTTTATACTTGGGAAACACCTAACATAGACTTGTGATCCTTGTTTTACAACACCTCTTAAAAAATTGGATTTTTTGTATCCCTTCTAGTACTTTTTGTCCAGAGTCTTCGTACAAAGATTTATTACAAAAAAATGACAGTGCCAGTAACCATAGACACTGCTTTAGACAAACTGGAAGGGAACCTGTACACACCCACAGGGAATTTAGTTTTGACAATGTGCTGGACTCTAAAAGCCTTCCTATGTCTAGATGTCTGAACTCAGCTCAGGGTTCAGTCTCTTCAAACAGAAGTCTAAACAGTTTCAAGGAAAGATTTCATACATTTATCTTAATTATCTTTGATACCTTTTCTTCCTGGATACTTATGTATTGAACCACAGCCTAATCATTCTTTGCATAAAAATAACATCTCTTCAGTCTGTTGGTGTTTTTTTTAATTAAGAAATTTTTGGTAGTATTATCATTCATGCTACAACAGTGTCCTACTAAGAAAGGGAAGTATTCTGAAATTGGCCGACCTACCATAAAAAGACAGAAGAATACAAAATACATGAAATACAAAAGATTAATTTTACAAGTTAGAAAATACATTCAGGACTGGAGAAAATCCTATTAAGAAGAAAAAGTCAGCATGAAAACAGTTATATAGTAGGCTTTTTCATCCTGGACTGCTACAGCCTTGACCTAAACAGGCAACTGTTTGCAATAAAAGGAATAAAATTAGTGTCTCCCTCTACTTTGTTATGACTAAATTCAGAGAGATGTATTAAGAATCTATGACTACTTTGATGAAATTTGTACTGGAAAGACAGAACTTCATTTATTTGGTTTACTACAATTTCCTTTGTTAATAAGATGCTACTATAATTTGTTTTCAGTATTCTTAATTACATACTGCAAAAATATTTTTCTTCCTTTTTCAACCAGAAGGAATAAAATGAATAAGCATTCTGTTGCAAACCATCCTCAGAGTAGGTTGTACTAACTACTTGCTGTATAAGAAAGTTTGAAGAAGCTCAAAGATACCTCTTGCAGCCTTTCATTCTCGGCCATGTATTTTTTGGCTGCTTCAGTAGCATCATTTACTTGTGTTTCCAGCGCTGCATGAGATGCCATCTCTTTTGCCAGCTGAGTAAGAAGGGTAACAGTACGTCTCAATACACTGGTGAAGAAAAACAGTGAACAGAACTGTAACTTACGGCACAAATAATACAAAAACCCAAACCGCAAGCAAAAACCAAAACAACAAAAATCAAACCAAACAAAAAATCCCACAAACCAAAGCAAGCCCTTTTCTCTCGGCAGTAGATGTAAAAATAAAACCAGAAGAGGGCTGTTTAAGCACCTTAAGGGAAACATTCAGGCTCATCGATGACAAATAATAGTAACAAGAGACTGCAAATATTTTCATCCATTGACATTCTGATTTTTACTTGATACGGAACCTCCCTCCTCCTAAATACCCACAGCCATTAATCAGGTCTCTGACCAGCCAGGGTCTCTTCAAAGGCTGTTTAAATAGTGTTACACGACCCAGTATTTTTAACAGGATTGATCTCCAAACACAAGAGCTAAACAAGAAGTTTTGGTAATGAGTGAAAAAAAAAATAAATCACACAGCTTTATAAACAGCCTTGCAAGAACAGAATTAGCAGTGTGAGCATAATAATCTTTAAAATACTGTAAATACAGCTAAATCTGAACACGTATGGATGTCAACACTGATACGGCACCTCTATTCTGAGCTTTGCAAATATCTCCCTTGATTATTTGCATCACTATTTTCATTACTCATCCTGAAGTCTTTCAAATGTTGCTGAATTGAGGCAACACAACACTGAACTAAATTAATGTCTGTAATCTAACTATGCAGCTGGTCTTCAAAGAAATTTAAAAATCCAAGTAATTCACTTTTGCATAAAAGTCCCCATGTCACTGCTTTTCCACAGGTTAGCAAATTTACTATTGCTTATCAGCTTACAGATGCAGGACTCGTTACAACATCATAACTAAAAAGAGAATCACAGAATCACATAGGTTCAAAGAGGCTTCCATCTCATGAAAAGCAGGACAGGTTGAACAGATTCCTTAGAGGCTTGTCCAGTTGAGCTTCTACCATCTTCAGTGATGGGAGATTACACCATCCTTCAGGGTGCTTGTTCCAGTGTTTAACTGCTCTTGACAGCAGCAGTACTTTTCTACCACAAGTCAGAACATCTCAGGTTCCTTTTACCTCTTGTCATTCCTTTTTGCATCCACTGAGATGAACTGGATCCATCCTTTTTACTACTATACAGACATAGAAACCAGTAATATTTTCCCTTCAAAATCTCTTCTGGCAGAAAGCAAAGTTCCTTCATCATCTCCTCATAGGTCATATATTTCAGCCTCCAACTTTCTCTGTACCCCACTGCAGTACTCCAGTATTTTGGGGATTAAAACTTAAGTCCTGCAGCTACAGCACCACACATGTAAGACAGAGAGAAATAACTACTTTCCTTGACCTGCTAACTACATCCTTGCTATCACAGCTCAATACACAACTGGCTCTCTATCAGGATCCCCAGTTTTTTTCCTGCAAAACTGCTTCCTACCCACCCACACAGCCAGTCTCCAGCCTGGATGCTGTATATGATTATCCAATAAAATGTGAGACTTTGCATTTGTCTTTGTTGAGCTTCATGAGATTTATGTCAGCACATTTCCAAGACATCTCCAAGATGTCAACCACTCTGATTTGGTACCTTGAGCAGCTTCCTGACAGCACAGTCAATCTTATCATCCATGATGTTAACAAAGACATTAAGCAATACTGAACCCAGTACCGATTCCTGAGGAGCACCAGCTGAAATTCACAATGTTATTATCCTTTGAGCCGGAAGGTCCAGGGAACTTCCCACCTGCTTTTTAATCCATTTCTCGAGCCTATGTCCCTCCACAGTCAGGCTATCAGGATACTAAAAGACACTACATCAAAGGCCTTGCAAAAGAGATATTCTGCTCTTTAACCACACAGCCATTCATGTCACTGCGGAAGGCAACAAGGATGTTCAGGCATCATCTTCCCTAAGTAAATCTGTGATGACTGCTCCAAGTCATCACGTCCTTCATGTCCCTGAAGATGTCTTTGAGTAAGATTTGCTTAATAACCTTTCCAGGGAGACCAGTCTCTAGTTTCTTATATCCTGTTTTTGTCCTTCTTGAAGACTGGTGCAACGTTTGCCTTTTTGTGGTCACCAGGATTCTCCCCAGAATCATCTTTCAAACTAAGCCTTGAAATGGCATTGGCCAACTCTCTCTGCCATCCTAGGATGCCACAGACTTTTATATGCACAACTGGCCTATGCACTCCTTAGCTGCATCTTCCACTACTGGGGGTGATGTTACATACCCTGATGACCCTCCTAGAAGGCACCAGTGAGCAGTGGACTCATGTTTTCTTGAGATTTTCTTTAGTTTTCAGCCCTTCTTATCCCTCTCTCATTCAGCATGGGCTAAAAGAGGACCAGGTCAGATTAGCAGATCGGTGGGTGTCTTTGTCCTACCCAGGGGACAGTCTCCAGGGTCTACGACCCTCCTCTTTTCTGCGCAGTTTTCAGATGAAGGGCTTAACTGGCCCAAATACCCGCACTGACAGGTAATTTTCCTCACCTGTACCCAATGCTCTGCAATCACTGAACCCCACAACTGCTGCTGTCTTGCCAGAAGTGACAAGCTCCAAGCCTCCCCCACTTTATGAAATCTCCATATACCATTCTTGTGGAATTCTTGTATTGGTTGATGTGCTAAAATGAACCAAAACTGATACAAAGGATGAACTAGGGGCATCTAATTACCCACTCACACTAAATGGGGTCTCACGCTGGTTGGGTGATGGTATAGCAGTATAGGATAACACAACCCAAGGAACACTTTCCCCTCACTTCTCTAAGAGACATTATGTCTGTTTCATGGATAAGCAAAATAGCTCTACTAAGAAAAGTCCTTTGATCTAGTGACTACTGGAGAAGTGCTTATTTCTCCTAAATCTTGGTGAAAGGCCAGCAGCTCAAAAAATCCTCAAGCAAACCTCTTCAAGAGCAGAGCTTTTATACAAAATAATCTACTGGGGTCATTTGACAAGTTTTCTTCCTTGGAAGTTGAATGTAAGCAGGGTCCTGAGAGACCAGCTTCCAGTTCTTGTGTAAGAAACAATCCAGCTATTCCTCTTGGAGAAGAGATTGAAAACATGTTTGTGCATATTTACTTAACCTTTCTGTAGGAAGACAAAGAACTTGATGCATTCCTATCACAAATGAGCAAGGCTACAACCATATTACTTTTTCCAAAGCTTTTCTGCTCAGGCTTTGTATTCATTTTTCCTTGACACTTCTTTGTGGTCAATCGTCTGCTAAAATGGCCACATATCACTCTAAGGGGGAGAAGTTTGTCGTAAGTCTGATTTTCTTGTTCTGTGTTCCTCCTGAGTATTGAGCCAATGTCACTGAAGGAACTCCTAAGAGGACCAACACTCTTAGTCCAGCCATCATAAAAATGTACAAATAGGAAATCATCAGACCAACGTGTCTGTTTCTGTTTGTTCACATCATCCATGTCCAGTGACTTCATGTGCTCCTGGCTCAACTGATAACATCTGCAGGTTGTTGTGGCTACTGATTCACAGGTAGTCTTAGTTGCTACAGGCAGGCAGTAGAGAACTTTAAACTGTTTTAGTAGCTGTACTTAAACATCCTGAAAAACATACAAGACTTAAGATCATAGTATCATAGCAGGTAAGTTGACACAAAGTGCTTGATCTGAAATACAACTGAAACTTTCCTTGAAAGCTGGAATATTATCCTACAGCTCTTTGCTTCAAGCTTGAGCTTGAAGCGGCTCAGGTCAGACTCAAGCTTTGCTTCTCAACATAGCAGGGTGCAATGACACCAGCTTGCCAGATAATAATATTATTTAGGAGTTACTTTAGCTTTTAAGCGTTTTTTTATTCCAGTTTTCCATGTGCAAAACAAAGAGTGTAAGTTTAAGGAAGGAAATGAGTGAGTATTCCCCAAAGAAACTTCTGCAAAATACATGCTTTCTAGAGCATTCAAAATGTTTCTTTCCATGTGTTGCTCACGTACCCTTGCCATCTTCAAACAGTTGTAAGGCATTATTTTCCCTGTCTTACTTGCCTTGTTGCCAACCTGGTCACAATTAATTTTTTAACCTCCTGAAATTGTCATTCTGATCTTGACAATTACTTTGTGCAGTAGTTCTTGTAATAAACATACTATGTAAACATTAGAAAAGTGTTATACTTACAGCCAAAGAAATAAGGAAAAACCTGAGAGATACAGGTTTCTTTGCGACCGAAAGAGTTTCATCTGAATATGATCAAAGGCATTGCTGTTGACATTTGCAGCCTTTTCATTCACATGAACAGATGAGTATTTCCTGACTTCTCTAATAGCATCTGCAAACAAAAACAGTCTGTTCTTATTCACATCTGTGGGTGTACATGTATGCTAAACCACACCTTAGTATTAGAAATATGTACTTCGACTTTCTGCTCAGCAAACAGTAATAGGACAAATAGTGACATCACGTATGTTATCCATGCTTTTAAAGATCGGTCTTGATAAACCTTGAAGTGCTCTAGCACATTTCCAGAAATATTAACAAACCATTGCTCAAAATATGCTTGAACAGGTATTTCAAACACTTGTACCTAGCCACCAGGGATCAGACCAAAGCAACTTGCTCTACGGATGCTACCAAAGACCCTATGGTGTCAAAATGTCACTGCTGACAACTGAGCTAAAATTCCCCAGTGGACAAACAGTGAGAAAAGAGAAAAAGCAGCAAAAAGAAGTAGTATGTGCTCAAGTATTTGCTTCACACAGAGTTTTCTTAAGATACACACGTGTTTTAGTAATGACAGAAAGGTCTATTTTATGCTTCAATCATAGAGGGAGAAAATTGTTTATTTAACATCCATCAACATAGGAAGATTGTGGCAATGCAGCAGTAGTAACATCAGTAGTGACTACTAACTGCAACAAGAGCATAAAAAGAATGGAGGAAAAAAGCTACAACTCAGCTTTCTTTCATCTGCCTTTCATACATCTTTCAGCTTCCTTCCATCCACCACATACTCCTGATGGTCCTGCAAAAGGACCAGTGCACTGCAAACACCTTCCCAAGGACAAAATAATTAATTAGGACTTACATCCACCTAAACCTAACCCAGTTAAGAGTTCATATTACAATCTTTAAATGCAAGATCATGAAACATTCTTAAAACCAATACAGCACCTTAAATCTCCTCCTGCACATCAACAAAATACATATTTCTTGTAGTTTTCTGTATTCTATATGTATTCTGTGTATATTCTGTATTTCTCTATTCTGTATTCTGGAGTTCTTGCAGAATATTTTGGCCAGATGTTATTAAATTGCTGCTACATTTGTCTAAGCAGGCAAAATCAACTGCAAACAAAAGCACGTGTGAATATCATCACTTGTGACTCTCTCATATGTCTAAGTTATTTAGGTGGTAAAAAAACCTTGAAGTGAAGCTTTAAACAATGCATATCCCTGTTATATAGGAAGAGTCTAGGCCTGCAGTAACCTATCACTTCATGCTATGGGGCAGGTATCTCATCACTGTTTTCCTTTAGCCCAATTCTATCTTTCCACAAAATTAATGACCAGCACCAACTCAAAAGCAAACTTTGGTCAAAGTTTTCAACAGATTTCAACAGAGTAAGTTAAATACATTAGTTATCAGTCTTAAACCATTTACTGAAGGCCTAATTTTAAGAATAATAATAAACATAATCTTAAAAAAATAACAGAATAGTCTATTTGCATTTCTGGTACTTTAAATATTAAGAATATAGTACTGTTGCCTAGTCTGACATTGTTATATATGTACGTGCATCTGTATATTTCCCTCAGCAGAAAAAACATGCATTTTTTTCTTTCCATTTCAAGTAGCCTAGAATTAAGTAGCATGTGTATTCTAAAGCACTGGAAACACTTATCCATGGAGAACTACTTAGTTAATATCCCCAAAACACAGGAGAACTACTTTCATCACTGAAATGTAGGAGATGCTTAGTACACAGCAGTCAGGACAGACATTAAATTAAATCAGTCAGGCATACGGTAACCATTAAAGCTTTACTCTTACTTCATAGACCTTAGGATCTACAGATGTAGCCAGCAGCTGGTTTGTATCTGTGCTGAGCAAAAGTATTCAAACAGCCCAGTGCTTTGATATATTCTGGTCTCCTATTTCAACAGCAACCAAAAGAAAGAGTGCCATCTGCTGCATGAGGTGCAGCTCAGCCAAACTGTGGTGTCAGATTCATTTACCTGTCTGAGAAAGGAAAACCAAGCAGCAGCCTAGATTAAGCTCCATTTTTCCTTCTCACTCACTCAGTATATTACAATTGTATTTGGATTCCCAATGTGGATGCAGTAGCCCTCTCCTCTTCCATTCCACTATGTAACTTTTCAATAAATTAGCTGACTTACACCAGGCTTCAATCCCTTCCATTAGTTTACTGATATAAACTAAATGTACCATGTTTCTTTTACCCATTTGTTAAGAAATTAACACTTACCAAGAAACAAGACAATCAACAGAACTATTATTGTAAGGAACATCTTGTTCCAAAATACTGCCATTTTGCTCCATAGAGGAAACATAAAAATCTTCTGCCATCTGTAAAATAGAGTTGTGTTATTCAAAAATAATTAAGCACTAACAGAAGAGCATTACAACCCCACGGAAGAGAGCTCTGTTATTGATAAGAGACTTGTATAATGTCTCTCAACAGCTCCTTTAATCACAATACAATTTAGGTATACATTAACTTTTCCAGTAATCTAACTTCTTTTTTTTTTTTGTTAATACAGGGGAAACAGTTGTTGTTGCAAGTTCTTTAACTTAGCTTATACTTTGGCTAGCACTGTTATATTCAGTCCTGACTATAACAAGGGATAGGGTAAAGACTGTAAAATCAATTCCATTATTTTTATTTTTATCCACTAATACCTCTTGTAGCCAATAAAATTAAAAATGTCCAGAAATTCTCTACCATCCTCCTTCAGAAGGCTTATTTTCTACAAAGATGAGTCTGCATAACTCTGAAGAATAAGGATTGTTAATTACATTCTAACTTGTAATGACAACAAAACGGACAATTCTTGTGTTCGTATTTTGTTAAGGGTTAAAACCTCTTTCCCAAGCATACATTTTTTGGCTACAGAAAATTCTTCCTCATCTTCTGGTGAGACCAATGGTGGTGTATACAATTTTTTAAAATTATTTTTTCTTAACAGTTAGTTGTCTAATTGGTGTTGCTGCATAAAGGGCTGTGGCAAAAGTCACACTTGCTGGACAAAGAACATCCAGTGTGCTCAAATGAACTGAACAAGTGATTACAGAGCATCTACTGCAGGTTAGAACCAGGGCTTTGCTGAAGATTAGAATCAGTGCTACTGCACAAATGAAATAATACCTAATCATGCCACAGGGTTGTAACACAGACATACAACTCACCATCTGATTATATGAGGTAAAATTTCCTACTTTTATTAAGACTATTTATGCTTCCCAGAGATTGTTAAAATATTCTCTGTTACAGCAGTTTCCAAACAATTATGAATTTAATTTAAATGAGACCATAGCATCATCTCCTATAGTTTTTTCCAGTTCTCTACCAGAAATAATTAAAATGTTTTAGCATTGTGCATGCAAAAATCTCATTTAAGTCTTCTAGTATAATCTGAATTCTTTACAGCAAGACAGCCACAGTCTGTATCAAACAAAAAGCTTACTTCAAGCTACAACTCACACAAAGCCAACTCACCAACTCTTTAAACACACAATTTTCAAGCTCCATACTGACCTCCACTTAAGAAGTGATTCTTTGAGGTATGACCTCAGATAAACTACATCGCCAAGTTATAATCAGGTTAAAAATATGGATCTCTTTACAGGAAAATCTTCCTGTGTTTTATTTTCACATTTACTTTTCCTCAGCAAGTACTGACATTCACATTTACTAAAACTTCACTTCCTTTTGGTGACAAAAGTCATCTAAATATAAAACTTCCAAACTACAATACTAGCCACAATTTTAAATGTACTACACTTAGTAGAACAGTTCTCTTTGTGTATTTGCATTTTTATACTGTCAATTTACTTGTTCCCCAGGAACTTGAAAACTTGTTAGCAAATTTGAAAAAAAAATATTAAAAAAATGTGCACACACAAGAGAGACAACGAATCCATTTGAAGACTGACAACTTAGTAAACTGAAACTTCCAAGAACAGCAGTTTCCCACCTGTCAGTAACCATGCATGCCTTACTGCTGACAGAACCAGCTCCCAGGCCACCAAGATGCATCAGGCAGAGCTGCTCTCTCTGGTACTGACATAGCAGCTAAATCTGATTTTTAACCCCACGAGATTCCTGCTAGTTTTGTTAAGAAGGTAATTGTATATATCACATAAGGGATAAAGTTATTTCACTTGTTTGGAAACCACTGTTCAGAGGAATAGCTGAATGCACCAAACAAAGGACACAAATCTATCCTTTCCATATAATTAAAAGCACTATGCTTAAAGTTTGAATGAATTTTGGTAAAGCTGCACATTATGAATTTGCTTTTCAGCCACAAACACTGGACTCTGTTTGAATCATAAGTGAAATATATTTCAATACTCCCAAAGTATTATGCTTGTGACATCAGCCTGCAGAAATTCTTGCAACTAGTTTCCTCACATAAGCCATTAATAATCTGATGATTATGGATCCCATAATACTCCTCTCCTCTTACATAGTTGCACTTTTGCTTAGAGAGCAATAAGAAATACAACAACTCAATAGTCTATGTCGAAATGCTGAACTCCTCATAAGCCAACTTAAAAAACCAGAAGTTGAATTAGATTTTAGAACAGTTTCAATTTCTCAAGCTGAGGAAACATGACTAATCGTTGGTACCAGTTGTGGAGGAGACAGTCATTTTCAAGACTCCTCCACAGGCTTAAGTAGTAAAATCTAGACTTTCCATAACAACTCTTGTTCCTTAAGAGGACAGTAAAAGCTATATCACTCTAAATATATCTAAAGATGCAGGAAACAAACACACAACAGTTTTTATGGAGCATTGCTGAGACAGAGACATATAAAAAAACCGAAAACAGCAGCTCTAAACTTTCATTCTGCTTGTTGTTTTGGGGGGTTGTGAGGTTTTTGTGTGTTCTTCTTTTGAGACTTCCTGATACTCTAAAAAGAAATCATAAGTCTGCTTCTCTTGCCTCCTGCAGAGAATCTAGCTTTATTTCCTGTAGGGAAATAATATTACCAAATTTGAAGAGCTACTTACAGAAAATAAGAAAATGCTCTAAGTCAGGCCTCAGTAAGGGTAATAAATTAATTTTGTTTCTTTCCCTGTGTGCATTTATTTTACAAGAATCTATTATTTTCTTAATTGTTCTGTTGTGTTCCAGAAGTAGTACTATTTTCTTAATCTATATATGAGTTTTTATTGAGTTTTACAGAGGCCTTTATTCCAGTGGTCCTGAACCTTCTGTTTCAAACACAAGTCCAGTTTTTTTAAACAAGTGATCACAAATTTCTTGCAGCCCTTACACAGTTTGCTGCTTGCTTTGAATATCTGACGTCTTATCTGTTCTGCAGCCACAATGCCTAGTGTACACCAAAACATAAAGTTGTACCTCACAAATATGACAAACAAATGCTGAAAAAACCGCATTCTACTCTCATTTATTACTGCCAGATGCCTTCCTCTATGCTGCCTACTCCACAACTCTGGGAGAAGTCGCCCCACCTGCTGAAGCAAAGCAGGGGGCTCCTCTGGACACCCCGACCTCTGCTCTCGGATGAATCAGCATTGCCTAGAAAACATAAAGCTCCTTAAAGAGGCTTGCGATTCTTGCAGCTCCTGATCAGCATTCCTTCGGCTTTGTTCACAACTAGTTTAGGATGCAGCAAAGCTCCGTGTTTATGAAAACAGAAGCGTAAAATAAACCCAAACTGGTGAGAAGAGCGAGCTGCGTTGCTCATCACACCTAAGTTCTCCTACCTCAGCGGAGAAATGAACGGCAGGCAGAGTACGAGAATTACTGCTATTTCGCCGTACAGGAAGGCAGCCACTGCCGTCCATTGGAAAGTCATCGTCCCGGCGGCCTGCGGAGGAACGGGCGGCTCAGGCGGGCGGCTCTGACTTCCCCTCCCGAACGACACCCGGGACAGGGAGGTGGGGACCGCGCCGGCCCGGCGGGCAGAGCCCCCGGCCGAGGCCCCGCAGGTTCCTCCCGCCGCCTCTCGCCCCCCAGCGCTGCCGGCGCCCCCCGCGCGGCTGCGGAGCCCCGGGGCCGCCTCATCCTCCCTCCCTCCCTTCCTCCCTCCCGCCCGGCCTTCGAACCTCGTCAGCGCCGGCACACGGCGGAGCTGATGGCGGACAAGGGGCGGGAGCGGGGCCTTACCGGCCGGGGCTGCGGAAGAGCGGGCCGGTCTCTCCCCCCGGCACAGGGCGGGCCGGGCGGGGAAACGGGGTGTCTGTGCGAACAGGGTGCTGCCTCCGCCCTGCCCGGGAGTGTGGGCAGGGATGGGGCTGAGTGACACGGTGGGGGCGGTGCGGAGCTGGCGGCGGCCCGGTCGGGGAAAGGTACGGTCGGGGGAGGGAGGCAGAGTCCGGGCCCGCCCGGCCCCGCCGCAGAGGCCGCGCTCGGCCCGGCCCGGCCTGGCCCGGGTGCCCGGCCACGCGTGCGGTGCCGCCTGCGGAGCGGGGGACGAGAACCACGGCGGGCGCGGAGTTATCAAGGGGCCCCACCTGTGTTGGGAAACGCGTGGACCTACGCGGTGAGAAGGGTTCAAATGAGCATTATCTTTTTCCTATCTAGCGAATGGTTGTGAGCATTTTGCTGCGGAATCCTGCTGTGAATATCCTACCGCTCCATGACTCGAGCTTAATCGACTGGGGACTTCAACTCTGCTCTCCAGCATTATCATGAGTTTCTAAAGTTTAGTTAAAATACTGCGTGTGTCCATCCCTTTCCTTCTCCATGTGCCGCACTACATTAATGTATTAAGACCCAGTAAATCGTTTTCTCAAGGAAAACAAGTCCAGTATTCATAAAGACAGTACAAATAACAATCGAACAACAGTCTCACTGTCAAACAGGCTTGTTTGGGCCTCAGTATTCCTTCAGAAAACCCTGTTCTACTGTCCTGCACAATGCTTTTTATCAGCATACCAAGGCTCCAAGCACATTATTTCCATGCAACTCTCCTTTGCTCCTGCATTAGAAGGACATCCTCTGATCACTTTTTCCTTTTGATTCTAACATGCTGAGGTGCTGTCAGTGGAAGAAGTCTACCTGGGCATTGTGAGAAATCAGGTTGTGGTTCGTGTCAATCAAATAGCACCCATCTATGTATGTGTGTCTGTGGGCAATGCAGACAGAGACCATGGGATTATTATAAAGAAGAGTTTTAAGAATCAGCTAAAGTAAGGCATGGAAGTGAGGTTTAACAAAGTTAACTATATAACAGTAAACTTCTAGCTAACAGTTTATTTTAACAATAAAATTGTAATTACCTACAAGTAATTAATATAAGCTTTAAAATACCTTGTAGTATAAGTTTCAAACTATTCTTCGTACAAGCTATAAATTGGTTTTTTTTGGAGTATAGAAGAATTTGGAAACACTTAAAAAGGGGAAGTAAGCTGAGAGGAACATGAACTGAGAGGCATTTTTAAACATGCTTATTTTAAGTTTTGTAATAACTGAGAAAGAGGCCCTATGATAACATTTTTTTACACATGCTGGCTGTAAGTTGTGAAATGACTGAAAGAGGACTTGCAAAATGTATACTAGCAGAATATATATATGCTTTCTTAGACAAACTGTATAACCAAAATAATGCTAGTGGAAAAAAGGTATTTTAGAAGAAGAATAGGAGGCTGAAGAGACATCAGAAGACCATCTCAGACCACCTCAACAACAGAGCTTCAAAAACCACAGCTGCTGATTATGAAGAAAAGCAAGTAGAAAGTAACTGAAAGTTTGAGGAAGTGAAGTGCCTAGAATGGTATAAGAAGACTACCATGTGAATCCTGAATTTGTGCATTGCTTAGGGCAGTGACCCTCACGCACTCAGTGCTGTAAAATTTGCTCACCTTTTATTGAACAAATTAGTAAATTTGCTATATTGCTTCATGTATTGGCAAGTCTAGCTTTTCATTTATAAGAGCATCACCAGCACACTTTGACACAACTACTTGCTTTGGGGAATTCTTTCCTAATGAAGTTCCATCAACATGAGACAGATAAAATGCTGTGAATAGTAGTTCTTTGTTACTCTAATCCATCGGAACTGACATGGAGTGGGAAGTTCTTGTATAAGCAGTTTTGAGCAGAGCTGTTTGCAGCTGCTCACAATCTGAAATTGTTTACTTAAAATTTCCCAGGGCTGCAGCCTGGGGATGGAGCCAGTGTGTCAACATTTTCCTAGTTACTGCCAAGCAATGTCTGGATGAAAGGTTACATCCCAAATAATTGTTTATGCACAACAAATACTGGAGAGAGATATAAGGAGTCATTTCAATCCAAACTACACAGTAGGAATAGCCCGAGTTTTAAGTGGCATCTAAACACATTTTCATAAACAAATTTAATCAGCACTATAGACAAAACACAACCTCTTAGAATGTTCTGGTTATTACATTTTAACTATTAGCCTACAGCCACTATACTTCACTGAAGTTATTAAAAAGTGAATAAAGACTTTCCTTTAATTACAGAGAAGTTTCCATTTCTGATTACATACTCACCTCTTTCTAGCACTGTAAGCTGCTCTGCCACTAGCATAGCCTCATACTGATAGGACTATGTTCACTTGTCCCCAGTGCCAGAGACCTGAGTAGTGTTTTCACTTTAGGAGCTTCATGAGATCTCAGAAAGACTCACTGAGTGTGTCTGCACTTCTGCAGCTGATGCATGTTACCCACCAACCTAAAATGAGATCTGAAAAGATGTCTCCTGCAAACAGCTGTGAGACCTCTCTTCTCCTGTTGAGTGCACTCTGCTGCTCCTGGAAGGAATTCTAACTGAAGCTGTAGGAGTCAGGGTTGTTGATCTAAGGCTGTCTCTCTTATACTGAACCGCCATATGATTAATATAATGCCATACTATATAAATAAATAATTATAATTATATATATATATATATATATATATATAATGGCTGGCTGCTTTAGGGGAAAAAATTCACAAACCTTCAAACATTACAGTTAAAAGGAATACTTTCCTCTTCCATCAGAGACGTGACAAAATATTCAGAAGCAGAAATAGGAAATGCCTATATTTGATGATGAGGAGTGAAATCAACTAATAACTCTTCTGAAACAAAAAGGGAAGTTTAAACTTGTTCTATTTTGGTTTCTGTGACAGCCTTATCATACACTGCTTTTGCCCAACCGTCAACCCAAGAGACCAAAGAAATTTAACAATAGGCAGTAAATAGGATTGTATAGTTTGTGCTGGGGTTGTTGCAGCAGGATAAATATTGCAAAAACATAGAGATATAATGAGAATATAGTATTGTTGTGCAGGGGGTTTAACATAAAGAACAGGATCAGTTACATGAGGCAAAGAACATAGAATAGGAAACAATACTTTGTATCTTATGTTACTTGCTTTGTACTTATGTTACACTTAAAAACTAGAAAATAGAAAGACTGACCGCCTGGTGATGTTAAAAGTAACAGATACAGGAGAAGGACTATATCCAGTGGTTTTAAACTGGAAATTAGTATTCTTCCATATTTAAATGTCTTATAAGGAGAAATATGACCATATACTAAGAACAACACTGGTAGCTAAATAACTCTCATCCTTAGCAATTTATGTATATTGGAACAGTATACAGTTAATATACTAGTTAGTCAAGTATAACTAATTATTATTTATTTATTATGTATTTATTAGTTAGTTAACTAGTTAGTTAAGTATAGCTTAAAGACTCCCAACTTTACGGTTTATTCTATGGAAACACAATGAAGTATGTTCAGATGCATACAAAATTCAGAATGAATGTGTACAATTCATTTCACCCCTGAAAATGAATGATGAGCTTCCATTGACTTTTATGATACATAAAAGGCCAGATCAAACACTCCATAATTACTACCAGTATTACCGCAACCAAGGTTTTGTACTTCAGGCAGAAATCTGTGATTAATCTCACACAGGCACAACAACTGCTGCCTTTAAAAATCATGAAGTACTTAGTTCCTAAATAGGTCAAGGTATTTCCAGGCCTCTAAAATTCAATTTTCCCACTACTAAAGAAAATAAAGAAAGCCTTTAGTTTGTGTTGATTGTATATAATAATTTTTTGTTCTCTGCTCCTTGAGGCTAATGGGACAGTTTACTAAATATAATAGTCACTAGCCAGATCATAAAACTCTTTAAAAAATGGCAACAAAGGGCTTAGTTAATTCTTTTACAAGTCCTTGTCTTCTACAATTCAGTTGCTCAGTTTTACTTCAGAGGAGGCCAGAGGCATTTCAGAACTGAGGAGAACTGTGTTGCAACATAATTGGATGAACTTGATACTGGAAATTTGGCAGTACAAAATACATAGTCATACAGTTGGAAGCACTTTTGCTCTAAAGTTGGGAGCTCATAATTTACATGATGAATATTAGTTGAGGAAAAGTGAAATATTAGAAGTAATATTAACTGCAGAAGACACTGCTGGGATTTTACCTGGAATGCTATATAGAATTGTGCCCAACTAATGTCAGGAAAATATTACAATCCAGAAGTGTGAAAAAATAGTTGTCTGAAGGAATGGAGACAAACCAAACATGGTTGCAGAGGTTGTGTCAATTGGCCTAGGAGACCAAAGCACGTCTGTAGTTTTCCATTTGTTAGCACATTGGGAAGGTGGTCATATCAGAAGAGTTATGTAACTTTGCTGCCTTGAATAGTGAAATGGACTTGATGACTTGGGTCATGCCTTTCAAACTTATGTTAATATGCCTAAATCGGACATATTCATTATGAAAAATGATCAGGTATTTTATGCTATCGCATTTTAAAAAAGTGTAAATTTAAGATACCTGAACTATGAAAAGGTTTGGAGAGAGCATCAAAAGCAACCTTCCCTCCTCCAGATTCCTGTATAATAAAAAAATTACAACTGCATACAAAACCAAGTAATTTATTTAGGAAATTTGGAACTATTCACATGTCTGTTCATAGAACAATCACAGTCAGAAAACTGGCAATTTTTGGTATGAATTTCTGTGTAAACATATAAAGAAAAGATTTATTTGATTACAAGTAATTGTACTGTACAGTTTTGTGAAATTTCCCTTGCAGAACAAATGCAGCTGGTGTGTAACAATATTATCTTGTTCTAATTTTCACTATTTCTCTCCTATATAATGATTCAAAGCCAAGTGGCTGTCATGCTTTGATAAGCAACATGCCAGCAGGCAGAAAGGCCTGCAAGAGCCCCACTGAGAGAATCTGTCAGCTTTCCTTTGACCTAAAATGTTCTGGTTTGGTAGATGATAGGGATTTAATCTTGTATACAATTATTCTACAGTAGATAAATAAACCTGAATTTAGTTTGATTGAACTTAGAAATCTTGTTCTTTAAATTCAGTTAAGTTTGTACTTAAACTATCTCTTAATTTTCCTTTTTTCTTCTTTCCCTCTTCATTTTCCTTCTTCCTTCTTTCCATAATTGTTTATCTATTCTGGGATTCTTTTGCTATAAAAAGTATGGAATTTTTCTAAATTATAAGTAAGTTACAAAGCTTTAGGCTGTGAAAGAAACATCAAATTTAAAGAAGGATAGTATGATAGGATTTAAGCTTATGTTATCTAAAGCAAAAACTTCTATAGTTGCTCCCTTGGTATTCTTTTGGTCTGAAATTACTGGCATTATCTGTAAGTAGTCCTGATTTTAGGAGGTTTAATGTAAGAAAGGCCCTAGTTTTGCAATCATATTGCTGTAAGCAATTATCTAGTGAAAAATTAAATTATTAGGGCCTTACAATAATCAGTCCTCTCTGTAGTAGTGAACTGTAAATAGAATTCCACATTTGTAGAATCTTGAATATTCTCTAGAGTGAAAAATGGAGACATAAAAATATAAAGTATCATCCAAATGATAATATTTTGCTGTGTTGAAAATAGTGTACAAATGTGACTGAAAAGTAAAAACCCAATTAAAACTTTTTCAGTTTATCGACAATTGCAAAATACAAGTTTACACAGGACTAGCATATTTTCATTTACCACAAACCATAATGGTCATTCAGATAATCTAGTACTGCTGAAGTACTTGATAAAACATTAAAAACTTTCTTTTCTTGTTTTGAAGTTATGCGCTCCATCATGTACATTAAGTGGTGGTGAAAACATGTAAAAGGAGTTCCGTGTTCAAGAGCAATGTCAATCCAGTCCTGGATGCACTGAAAAGGTGTCTCTTCATATCCTGCAAACATAGCTGGATTTGCCAAGAGTCCTCTAGCCACCATTATACCTTCAAATTAGAAATTAAAGCAGTAAGTTACATTCTAGTTTGAATTTTATGCTCAGTCTTCCTGTAGACTTTGTACAGCACCCATTAGGACAACCACCCAAAGCTTACAGATGGTAATGGGAGAACAATGGGGTGAGTATTACAGCTGTATCAGAGAAATTCATTGAACAAGGCAGACCTCAGAGTATCTACAACACCTATCAACTCATTCCAAAAATTCTGAAACAAAACACAACAGAAGCATTTTTTCCCTTCTTTTGAAGCTGCAACTAATTAATACTTTGTTTTTATTTGCTACACACTTTATTGACTTTATAACATAAAATTACGATGGAAAGAGAACCAATAATTTTCTGTGCAACTCAGTCTATTCACTGTCCTTCTACTAAGAAATCAATGGCTCAATTAAGTAAATTTTAGGACTCTTGAGCTGCAGTAAATCTTTCTGAACGGCATGTAGTGTATTTGCAACTCTAATCCCATACTGTCAGATAAACCCATACAAGTTCTACTGTAATTTTTCCGTGATTAAGGGATTCTGTTTTCCTGCATGCATATCAAGATACAATCTATCACACTCAATTTTTTCTTTAAAAATGAAAAATTTCTTTTGTCATTGTCTATGACAGAAAAAAAAAATGCTTAATATTTTTACTACTGAAGAAGGTCAGCTGGATTATGACAACATTTTTTTCTATTATACATTTCCTTCTTGCTCCGTATTTGGGGGAAAAGTCACTGTAAGCAGCAGGCAGTTCAGTTCAATTTCTGTTGTTGCTATTAAACAGCAACAGTGTCAGCAGCAACCTGCCACAGGTACTGTTTTCTTTCCTGTTTTTCTCTAGCTGGAAGACACAATGTCTGTAGATACAGATTAACTCTTCAGAACATAAACCAAATCTCCATATTGTCTTGAAACCACAACAGTTGCAGGAATCTATTGTGACTAAATAAGTGCAAAAAATTCCCAAATTTTATGACTGAAAGTTCAGTGCCTCACTGTGTCCTTGAAGTTAACCATCTGGCTTAACAATATATCTCTTTTCCACTGTATTCTTACTGTAAGAAATCTGCTCCCATGTGCAGGAAGTAGAGATTTCCAAGTGGAAGTTTACAGTTCTTTAAAAGATGATCAGCTCCATAAAGAGACAGAATGTCTGAAGGTCTCCCTGAACTCCACTACTGAATGATGAGATAGCATAATTAATCACAGAGCTTTTGTAATTTGCCTCGGAAATAATTATTTGTGGCTTTGAATAGCAGTGCTCTAGTGTTCTGATGATTACCAGTGATTCTGCTTATGAGTTTTTCTTTCATTTGTCTCCTTAAGGAGAGAAATCACTCAAATCCTGTCCTACTTATATCCAAAATAAATACCTTGAAATCTGGTAAATTTACTTAGAAAATAGAGTATGTTTAATCTTACCATCTGCTTCTGTTAAGTGATGAACATTTTCAGCATCTTTTAAAGTTTTAATGTCTCCATTAGCCACAATAGGTATAGACATGCTTTGTTTAATTATTTTAATTGCATCATAATGTACAGGTTGATGCCTTTCTTCTATACTTCTCCCATGTACTATAATCCATGAAACTCCAGCTGCTTGAGCTTTTTGACACAGGTCAACTGTTCTTTTTAAGTCCTCATGGATCCTAAAATTGCAAGGAATGAAAGCATTAGGTAGTAAGTTTCCTGGCCTATATAAAAAGCACTCCTCCATAAGGAGGAATTATCATAGATTTCCAAAAATAACAAAATAAAGGCAATATTACTGTTGGAAAACAGTGTTTGATTTTTGGGTTTTTTTAAAGATATATGTGTTCAGTGTATGGAAACGTGTATTTAATTTAAACAGTTCCCAATTACATCTCTGTAATGTACATGGTAAATTTTATAGATTGAGCAAGAGTACCCAAAAAATCTAAAATCAACACCATGAGTTTGCATATTTTGTGGGGAAAAAAAAAATCCAATTTATAATAGTTCCCCTTTCCAGAAGGATTGGAAACTGAGTTGAAACTTAAATGACAAATAGCAAGAGCCACATAGAATATATGGTTTAATAAAGGATCAAGAATGGTCATAGAATCATAGAATGGTTTGGGGTGGAAGCAACCTTAAAGACCAGCCAGTTCCAAGCCCCTGGTATAGGGAGGTAGTAGATCTTCCACTAGACCAGGTTGCTCAGAGCTAATCCAACCTGACCGTACAATCTTCCAAGGATAGGCATCCACAACTTCTCTGGGCAACCTGCTCCAGGGCTTTACCACCTCCACAGTAAAGAATTTCTTCCTAATATTTAATCTGAACCTGCCCTCTTTCAGTTCGAAGCCATTCCCCCTTGTCCTGTTACATCATGCCCTTGCACAAAGTCTGTCTCCATCTTTCTTCTGGACTCCCTTTAGGTACTGGAAAGCTGCTGCAAGGTCTCCCTGGAGCCTTCTCTTCTCTGGGCTGCACACAAAGCAATACAAAACAAGTCCACAGAAGTTTAGAAGCTGATGTAGGAAAGCAGAATGTATTCCTTACAGCAGCTGTGGAAGCAGTTCCCAGTTTTGTTACCCATCCCTTTAATACCCAACTGCAACTGTGGCTTTGCTCTCTAATAGCTCATAAAGCAAATCCTTGTGATGACATAGACTATGCATTGCTTTTCTTTTATAGAAGTCCTAATCTTTTAACTTGTACTTTCATGTTGTTTGGATTGCAAGAGAACTCTAGCTTACAGTATGTTATCTGGGTAAGTAGTCAAAGGCTGTGCTAGTTCTAAGTTTTGTATTACCTGCCCCAGATATCTGAGTCAAAAAAATCAGCAGTCTTCACATGTAAGGAACATACTATAACGTGTAGTATTGCATTAACAGAATTACAAATATTACCATTACATTAAATTCTTCAAGGGAAAAAAAAAGAATTCTATGTACCACAAACAGCACTTAAGTTAGACCTACCTTATTTTAATGGATACTGAAAATTTAGGGTTGTCAATCTGACTCCGTACATGTCTCACCATATCTTTAACAAGCTCAGGTTTATTTATTAAGCAAGCACCATAACCTTCTGAAATCGCCCATCTTTAAAAGAAAAAGAACATTCATATTCTGCATTTGAAGAAATGCAAAGCAGTATCAGCTACATACATCAGTTTCTTTCCTTATGACTTCAGAATGCGTGGTTAAGTAAACAGAGGTAGTACTGGCTGTAGATCAATTATTTATTTGCAGTTTGGTACAGCTTCTAGATCTTGGTTCAGTCTCCATTGTGCTACTAGAACTTTGGATAAGTTACAAATCTCTTTAAGTTCAATTTTCTGTCCACAGAATGGACTCATAAGGAAGATAAATTAAAATTTAATCTACAGTGCATGCATTTAAAAAAATAATTTGATGTTTCCCCTTTCCTTGTCATGGATTTTTTTTTAAACAGATGACAAGTTCAGATTAAAAAGGAGGATTTTTTGAAGTGCAAGTGAGGACATTATTTTAGTGATATACTGGTCTCACTATTTTGCAAAGGCAAAAATAACCTTTGCTTCCACTTAACAGCAGCAGTTTTTAAAATGATTTTTCTTATAAAGGCACATAAAGTACACTAACTTTTGTTATTTTGAAACTAATATGCACAAGAAACAAAAGATTCAAATGTAAGTATGTATTTTTGGCCTAAAAGGAACAGAGAGTCTGACATACTTAACTGTAGTTAACTTTAAAAAAACCCCAATACTTCCATGCAGAAGTATCAGATCACTCTAGAAAAGTCTTCTCAAACACTACAGTTTTAAGTCAAGAAAACCTAATTACAATAGAAAAAATAAGTATTTTCACTGTAATATTATCTTTTACTTTCCTACATTTTTCAGGTTTTCATTTAGAAAAAGACTACCTGAGAAACATGTAATAGATAGTTCTCAACTGAACCAGTCAGTTTCACTCTGTTTCACTGTCAAGACAAAATCTTTATCAGTTTAAGTGAGAAGTACATCACTAATTCACTGTACTTACAAATTTAATACAAGATGGAAGAAATTATTTTCAGTACTTTATCTGTATAATTTTATTTAAAATACTATCCTTCACTTGCAGATGTTTGAGATGTGACGGACTTGCCTCATTATTCTGGAAATTGCTACATCATGATTCAAAACACTCTGCAAATTATTTGCAGCAAGCTCTTTTTGGTAGTGCACATTGAACAGTTGTTGAGAAGGGATGTACACTTCTGAGCCAACACTCAGTATCTCAGAAATTAAAAAAGGCAATTTGGCAAATACATATAGTTCTCCCAGTCTCACCATGGTGACAGGTGTCTGGGAGCACTCAGAACAGTGCCTTAGCACATAGACATTCCTGACATCTTAAAAAGCTCTTAATCTCCTGAAATCTATTTTTAGGTTAAGACAGAAATTATGATGGATAGGAAGACTGTCATTCTTTAGTCTCATTAATTATTTCATCATATTTACCCAGCTTTTTCAAGACTTTACCTCTGAGGACAGCCACAGTTTAGGTCTATTCCATCAGCAAAAGGACAGATGATACGGGCAGCATCACACAAAACCTGTGCTTCTTTAGCAGCGAACTGAACGATCAGTGGGTGATCGCCTACACAAATGAAAATATATTTAGAGATTTAAAAATTCCCAGAAAATAAAAAGAACAAGTTCTAAATTGTTGAATGCTTTTTTTGTATATTGTACAGCTGTCTGACCATGCATGGAGGGTGACTGGACAACATGACCCACAGAGGTCCTTCCAAGCTCATCTGCTTTGTGATTCTGTAAGCTCCCAATCGCAAATAAACAAAGGTAGCTGGCTTCATACTAAATGAGTATGTCTATTAACAGAGATGGGAATTCAGACAAATATAGGTGTCCTACACAGTTGCTGGCTTAACATACACTTTCTGACCGAAACTGGTCAGTTGCTAATCTCACAAAGACCATCTATGAAACTAGGCATTCTCTAATTTTCAGCAGCCTTGAAGCTTCCCTTCCTAGTCTGCCCCTTGTTATCTGCATGGTGCCCCTTTGCTGTGCTGACACAGCTGTCTGTCTTGCCCGGAGGGAAACTTGCTTACAGAATCATTAACCCGTCAGGAAGGAACTGAAACACCCACAAGCTTTGCCCTTCCTCATCCCAGCCCATCATTTTCCTTTTCTGTGCCAACATGTCTGTTTTTTATCCACAATGTGACACGCAGAGTTGGAATGAGCACACGTGTGCAGAAGCAGCTCTAGCAGCTTTGTCTCAAGTGAGAAACAAAAGTGCTGGTGCTCCTCAGCTTGGGTCTGCTGAACTACTTGTGATTTACTAAGCCCCTGCAGAGAGCCAGATGGTCATTTGGAACATGCTCTCCTCTTTTACAGCTACTGCATTACATTAAAGGCATCTCAAGTATCTCAAGCAGTCTTAGCACTCACTTTCCATATAAACAATTGCTGTAGTTAAGAAGCAGCAGCATGATATCTGAGCACTGATGGAAAGAGATGATCCAGCAAATGCACAAAGCAAGTGCACTCCTGGCACTGAAGAGATCACAAGCGCTTTCTGAACATTTTTCCATTTTAGAGGAAAATAAGTAATTATTGAAATGGTGGAGATTAAGTAAGAAAGGCCACCAGTACCTTCTCAATCAAGCTGAGACACTTCTAGAAGTTACCTAAAAATCCAGCAAGCAAAAAAATTGCATGCATATGTTCAAAAGTGTCACTGTAATACAGTGCTCTAGCTGAAGAGATTTACATTGTTATAACTAATATTTTAAAATAAGCCCACATGCCTAGTTTCTCTTTATTGAGCATTAAGTAATAAAAATACTGAGTCTAGCCACATAAAATTTTTTAGCAGCAGCCACAAAGAACCTCTATCTGAGAAATACACAACAAAGAAACATTAATGCAGAAGAAAATGTAAAACATAAATTGCAAACCTACTCCACTAATTAGAAGACAAAATCCCCAAACAGCCAGCAAGTTAAAAATAAAACCACATGAAAGGTATAAATGCTAATAATGTAAATACTATAATCTGGTCAAAGCATGAGGCAGAATGTTTTACAGGCCTGTAAAATTAAGGACAGCATAAAAGAACCGAGTAGGGAAAAATATGGTGTTTACATCACTAAAACATTTCATCTCCTCCTTCCCTGTCCCAGCACACCCCAGAACACACTCCACATCTGACCTGTAGAGCTTCAATGCCACTGCACTTTGTGTAGATCAGAAATGTAAATAAATTCAAGGGGGGCAAACTAGTAACAGTGGAGCTTTGAGCCATATTTGAGTCAGTTATAGTCTTACCCATTTATTTTTACACACAATGAGTTATTTTTGAAGTTGCATTCCACTCTTAAGAGTCTACCTGTGCTTTCCAATGCAAATTTTCTCTGTAATTGTTCTATTTGAATAATGCACCACAGTACATAGTCAATGCTGAAACAGTGAAATACACTTTCCCTTTTACGTATACACTTAGGAAACCACAAATTCTGAGGTCTGAATAGACTAGATCATCCCACTTTGTAGACCCTACATGCTGATCTTCCTTGCATGTTAGTGGTGCTTTTCATTCTTCCAGTTGCAGCCTATGCTCATACATTCCTTGTCACACTGTTCTGCTGCAGCCACTTCATGCCAACAGTTCTGTATCGTTCTTGTCACCTCTTCCCACATACTTCAGATCTCTTTAGGGCCATGACACTGTGCAAGTCCTCATACTTCTTTTAATATGTGTTCTGGTTATACTTTTGAACCATGCCTGAAGCCTTGCTTCTCCCCCTCAACCCCAGCCATGCTTAAACTATGAGCCTCTTTTGTACTTTCTTGTGCTCGTATCTTGAGTCATCAACCAACAGCCCGTTCCACTTTCCAGTCTGGCTCATGTGAAACCCTTCTTTTGTCAGTCCTTGACTCCCCTGTATCAATGGCTGGTCTATTAGTTTTTTCACCTTTACTAACACTCTTATTAGAGACTAGAAAACTTTTCCTGGCAATGAGTTAAAAACAGTTGTCTCTGAAACACGCATGAAACAATTGCTAGAAAAATAATCTTACTGTCATCATGTACCTGGTCTAGCTGTGAGAGAGTTAATTGTCAAATTTATTTGAAGTTTGTTTATAGTAGCCTGTGTGGTGCTGCATTTTGGATTTTGTGATAAAACCAATGTTCATAATTCACAGTTGTTTTGGGTGTTGTTGCAAAGTACATATAGAACTTCCCATTTTTTTCACTTTGCTTCCCCCTGCTCTCAACAAACAGACTGGGGTGGGCAAGAAGTTTGCAGTGGACAAAGCTATGACAGCTGACCTCAATAGGAACAAGGAATATTCCATACTGTAGAACATCCAGCTCAGCAAGGAAACTGGAATGATAGGGTATGGAAACTGACAATCGTCAAGTAAGTGAGAAACAGTAAGAAGAAATCCAAACAGTCCTTAGAGAAGGAAAAAAACCTTTGCAGCTGTTGTTGCCCTGTTGTTTACTTGCAAGAAACAGTCAAGGGGTGGTGTTCTTAATTGTCCAGTGATGGTGATGTGTTAGTTTAATGACCAATGAGAGTTTTACCTTTCGGACCTTCTCAGAACTGCCTATAAAAGAAGATCTGGAAAAATAAAACTTCCTCCCTTTTGCAACCAAGCTAGAGAGTCTCTCTTGTACTTTCACCATTCCTAATATAGCGCGACAATAGGGAAAGTAAAAAAGTGAGTTGGGACATGGAATTTTTGTTCCAGAGTGGCTACTGCTTGGAGAGTGGCTGGGCATTGGTCTGCTAGTAAGAAGTGACTGCCTTTGCATAACTTGTTTCTTTCTTTCCCTTTTTCTTTCCTTTACATATTAAGCTACCTTTTTTGACAAATTTTTTTTTTTTTTTGCATTTGCTCTTCGTATTCTCCCCCCGTGCTGCAGGGAGAATGAAGGAGGAATGAGTGAGCAGCTATGTGCGGTCAACCCCCAGATACAAATCACTTTGGAGGCCTTGATTTCAGGTGGAGACAAGGTTTTCCACTATTTAATTTGACCCACTATCACTGAACTGTGCTTACTCTCGCTGAGAGTATTTCTGTGGTTTTATAATCAGACAGTATACCAAAATTGTTAACAGATGTCAAGTTATGTGACCGACTTCATTCACATGGCAAGTTTGGCTTTTGTGTCTATATAAAACATTCTGACAAGGCAATGGTTTATTAAAAATAATACCTTTATTTGTTGTGAATTCGCTGTCTCTGGCTTTTGCAGATCTCACAAAATCAGCTGCCACTATCATTGGTGTGTAACATAAATCGCAACTGTACTTCCTAACCAGAGTTCTGAAAGCCAACCTGCAGACACATGAAGATTAAGAGGTAAATACTTAAGGCATTTTTCTGATTAGCTATCCTAAAATGCTGTCCTAACACGCAGTATTGTGGGGATTTTTGAATATTACATGTGTATATCTGTGATGAAAATACGTAAATAAAACATGTCCCACAGCTACCTCTGTCTTAAATAAAAGAGAAGGTAATAATTCATTTTTAGTCAAGATACATTTGAGAAACAATCTTCTAAACAGAGAAAATACACTGAAAACAGCTGACATGATAGTTACTTACTTTGAATAGCGAACCATAGGAGCACATATTTTTACAACTTGCCCAGAATTAAACAAATCCATGGGATCTCTTAGTTGGCATTCTTTAGTTTCCCTGATGTCACCAATCATGTATAATTAAAAGTCTTTTCAGCATCTGGAAGAACAAACAGCATCTGAAACGTTCGTCATTCAGCTACTTCTTATAAATGAAAATGCTAGACTTGCTGATACGTCAAGCAATATAGCCAATTTATTAATTTGTTCGATAAAAGGTGAGCAAGTGTTTACAGCGCGCTGGGTGCGTTGAGGGTCTGATTATACAAAGGATACAAGGTAGTTTTAAAGCTTAAAATTTTGTTGTTAGAACAGGCTGTTATCTAAAAGCTTACTGTTATATAATTACATTGTTAAACTTTACTTCCATGCTTTATTTTAACTGATTTTCAAAACTTTTCTTTGTAATAATCCCATGGTCTCTGTCTGCATTGCTCGCAGACACACATACATAGGTAAGTGCTATTTGATTCACACGAATCACCACTTCATTTCTCACATTCTCACAGGCCATGCTGCAGAGCAACACGGTTTATGCAGCACTTGTGTTCGTTCTGGTGAAGCGTCCGCCAGAAGCCGCTCCCCCCGGCACGACCCCTCCTGTCACGGCATTCCTCGGCACGGTCCATCCCGGCACGGCCCCTCCCGACACGGCATCCCCCGGCCCGGCCCGCCCCGGCCCGGCCCGGCCCGCGCTCGCTCCCGGCGCCCCCTCACCACGTGCCGCCGCCGCCCGCTCCGTCGCGCGCTTTCGCCATCACCGCCGCGCGCCGCGTCCGGGAGTGACGCGCGGGCTCCGGCACCGCCAGCATGGAGGAGGCGGGGGCCGCCCCCGCCCCGGCGCTCGCCGAGCTGCGGGCAGACGGTGAGGCGCGGCCGCGGGCGTGGGGGGCAGCGCCGGGCACAGCCCCCGCCGGCACGACCACGCCGGGGCCCCGTCGCGGCGGCCCGGAGGGTCCCCTGCGAGGGCGGCATTGGGCCGGGCGGGCGGGGTCGCCGGCGAGTCGCGGGAAGTTGGGGCGGAGGAGCGAGTGCCCCGGTGTGGGGAAGGACCGCGGCGCTGCGTTGTGCGGAGTGTGTGCTGGGGCTCGACTGCTCCCAAAGAGAAAAAAATTACACTGGAAGGAAAGGCGAAGGTGCTCGGTTGAATTAAGAGTAGCTGGGAACTCTGGCCTTTCTTCTTCCAGAGTCATAATTGCAGTATCATTTCATAATTGTTTTATAAACACACCGTTGTCGAAATCCAGTATGATTTAATGAAGTTTTGTCTCATGCTACTTGTCAGTGATCTGCAGCTGCCTGGTGTGCTTGGTTATGGGTACAGGCTCAACAGCTTCACCCTGGTTACACTTTAAAGTTTGAGAAAATAAGGTATTGATACTTTCTAGTGTATTCTGCTCAAAGAAGGGTGTGGGGAATAAAGAAATGTGTGTCTTTTTCTGTATTTGCACAAAAACCCCAAACAACCCAAAACAAACACGAAGCCCAGTTGCAAGTTCCAAACTTGGTTCTCATTATTGTGATCTCTTTGGATCCTTGTACTGTGTGATGTAAAGAACATTCACGGTTACACTGAAGAAATTGAAGATCAGACAACTGTACACTGTAGGGCTATAAATATTATTTAATTATTCCGAACTGTGAATATAAAATCTAAATCCTTTTTCAGAATGTTATGCTGACTTCTTCAGAGAAGACTTTGATGTGAAAGCTTACACTTCCCAGTCCATCCATCAGGCTGTGATAGCTGAGCAACTGGCTAAACTTGCTCAAGGTATCAGTCAGTTGGACAAAGAGCTGCATTTACAAGTAAGTTTAAAGCATACCTGTTATTATTACATATGGGGTTATTGATATAAACTAGTAAAAAACTTAGTTATCTTACAAACTTGTAACTTGTGAAGTTGCCCAGTGTCCTCTGCAAGCAGTTTCTAAAGGTACAGTTTGCAGCTAAACTAGTAGTGAGTTTGGCAACTCAATTAAGCCCACACTCAATACTCCTATCAAGCAGCCATGTACTGTTTCAGTTTTTTACTCTTTCTTGGTAGATGGAAGACTCTTTCCAAATGACTGTGTCAACTATCAAAGGCCATGTTTCAGCATGGTATTGTGAGAGGACAGAGAGAACTTGATCCCTTACATTGTGTGCTGAAGAGTTAAATAAACCCTAAGACTTTCCTTTAAACTAGGCAGATATAACCTATGTTAACATGCTTCTATACCTTCAGAAAGGCTTTTTAGATAGAAAAAGGCTTTTTCTATGCAGGAATCATAAATCCACAGTAGACATTACAAGGAGAACACTTGCTAAGTTTGTGTGTAGTTTCAAAACCTGCTTCTTCCTTCCCCCTGCCCCAGTTGATAAGTTCTTTGGGAACTAGTTTATAAATGTCATAAACAGAAAAAAATTAACATATGTTATGGTGTGATTAGTAAGTTCACATTTACAGCTGTTATTAAATATGAAGATGTGTTGAAATGTGATTGCTCTGCTGGCTTTAATTAAGATGTCAGCTCTGATGCACATATTAATTAGTTACTGACCCTCTTCTCATTCTGAGCTTGCTGCTTTTGTGAATTAAAATACCTTGTGTTCTTAAAACCCTTTCTCCTGTAAGATGTACCTTTTTCCTGTATCTGGCTGATGTAGGGACGCTGATACTTAAATGCCTAATGTAGGAATGATGGTAATAAATTTAATACTTCTTTTAGGCTCATGTCCCCATTTTTATCTTTTGATTTCTTATTGAAGTGAAAAAACGCTCGCTCGCGGTGAGAGACTTCTCCAGGGTCAAGCTGTTCAAGTATAAGCAATTTATTATAAGGGTAAAGAGAGGGGAGACCCGTGTCCGCCACCAGCCTCGGCGTCCACGTGGTCAGGGGGAGGAGGGAGAGAACAGGTAGAGCAGGGGAGGTGAGGTTGGAAGGGGGAGGGAGGGAGTAAGAGAGACAAAGAGGGAAAAACCAGAGGGAGAGAGCAGGGAAGACGAGAGGGGTAGGAGCAGGGAGAGGGGGCTGAGAGTTAAGAGTGGGGGAGAGGGGTAAAGGGGTAAGAGGTAGGAGAGAAAAGGTAAGAGAGGTAAGAGCTAAGAGGTAAGAGCGAAGTTCTTGTTACAATCCAATATATCTTTTTCTATCGTGAATATTCTAATTCGTAGTAACCAATCCCCATGAGACACACCCACTAAAGAATTTACATCCAGCCTATGCGCTTCCCTATATTAACATACAGTGTTGCATTTTAGATTCTACAAAACTTTACAAGTTCTTTCCTTGCTTCTTGACCTTTGGACTTTGTTTTATGAGAAGGACGTTGTTTTATCAACAGGGATTCTCCTCTAGCTGGCTAGGCTATTGTTCTTTGGTTAACCAGTACTCAGTATCCTATAACTCAAAGCAGGCTTTAATTTCTACTTTGATTCTAGCCTTCATATTTTCAGAATCTTCTGCCAAACTATCACATTCATAAGGTTTCCCTGTTTCACCTTCCCCAACAATTTCTATATTGTTTTTTTAAGGTTGTTGCAAGACATGAAGATTTGTTGGCCCAAGCTACTGGAATTGAATCCCTGGAAGGTAAATATTGTTATATTATGCAGGCTATCCTTACAGTGGAGGAAGCACGATCTGTGCAGGGAACATCATTCACTGCCAACTTTGGCCCCCAGTGTTAAAGCTCCAGATCTGATTTCTGAGGAGTAACATGTGGCAGATTTTTGGTTTGCTGTTTTTTGATTTTTTTTGTTCGGTTGTTTTTTTTTTTATGACAGTAGATGGAGCTCCAAGGAGATTTGGGTGATACTTCTCTGGAGTAGCTGCTTCACAGGAAAATGTATTTTGATTATGTTCTGAGCAACTTTAGCAATAAAGCCTTTTTTGACCTTTTAATATATTTTTCTAAATACGCCTAATTTTGTTGCAGTATTGGTGGCCATCTGTTGCCATAAGCACCAATTTTCCGTTGCGTATACGTGTGTTGCGTAGTTTGCAGATCTTAACCAAAGAGGCTATAACACATAATCTGAGCTATGTTGGGATATTTTATACTAGTAAAGGACTACTAAGTTAAATACATAGTTTTGTTTTATTCTACTGTTAGAGACGTTGATTTTAACATAAATTGCTGATTTTCAAAGGCCTTGCTATGGAACCATTGACTATAGAAGATGGTTGCGGTATATTGTTCTTGTCCCAGGAGCTCATTAAACCTGCCATTCTGCTCTTTGTCACTTTGCTGAGAATGTCATGTGGTTTGGTATTGTGGTTTTTTGTGCAGACAGATATTTACCTCTGTAACATGCTAGAATCTCTATAGCATGTTCCATTTTCCCTTTTGTTACTTGGTAAGTAATTTATCTTTGTTCCTTTTTCTGCTTTCAGTTTTTGGCATAACCAGAGTTTCTGGTTACTGATAGTTATATCCTTAGTCTTTGTAGCTGCTGAGTTTTGTGTCAGTAATTACATATAGCTGTGAAATTAAAAAAATGGCTATTTAATCTAGTAATGGTAGCTCCTGAATAACTTTTTACACAGTTGGAGAATCAAGCATAAAAGACTGAAATATGTGCCCATTCTCCAAATAAGAAGTAGACAGGAATGTGTAGTCAATCTTGTGATTAATAAATACCTCCCAGTAACAATCTTCAGCATTTTGTACTCAGTGGAATTCTGTTTTCTGAAATGATGTTTTTTTCTGAATGCATTCCTTCCTAAAATTGCTCTGAGGAAAGAACGATGTACTTCAAAACAACTAGTCAGTTAGGAAACATTTCTATAAGGCAGGTGTGGTAAATAATGCATATTTTACAACTAATATGGCAAAGTAAACATAAAATTCAGTTCACCTCAAATTTGTTGAAATTTTCCCATTTACTTAGGGTTATGCTCTTAAAGGAAACACTGAGTCAAGATTTGTAAGAAAAAGAAAAGACAAATGCCAACAGATTTTTTAATTGTGAAGTTAGAAATGCATAGCTCTTGGTATATTTATCAAGCGAGTTAGCAAGTGAAGATTATGGAGCTAATTCACAGCATAGTCATTTGGATGTGTGAAAGTGAATCTCATTAAACATTTTCAAATTAGTACACCCAGCTTGTAGAGTCTTCTCTTTTTTAGGCCTGTGCACTTTTTTAATGGTACATAGCTCTGGTCTACATATTCTTTTCTGTCTATAGGTAGTTCAGTAGACATCTTGAGCTACCTGTTATTTTAAGATAGGCTAAATTATATCATCATGATATGATCATGATAATATATATCATCATCTTCCAGAGCAGTTGGAGGAGGGAGAGTGTCTTTTCACCCATCCTAATTCTGTCCTCTGGGAGGAGGGCTGTTGTATGCTTAATAGCAATATTACAGCCATAGATGCAGCAGTGTTGTGCCACTGGCCCTCCCCCAGTATTGCAGTGTAGGGTAGACAATGCAGCCTATTTTTCCAGATTTTCAGTGTATTTCATATCTTCATCCTCATGATCTATTGCATGCCATACTATGTATAAGTAACAGTGAACACATGAGCCTGTCACTAAGGTAAGTTTATAGTTTTAAAATACGGAGAAGACAAGAATTTTCATATCTATACAAAATGACTGAGATAGTCACAGTACAGA